TTGTCATACTACGTGACATTTTCCGTCACATGTATTGCCCTGACACATTGCTAGATGTTAATCTGGGACGACGAGTGTGAATTGATGATAAATTAAAAGGGTGTTTTAATTTATCAATTTTGATTAGATCAAAATAATATTTCACATTGTTAGGCATTGTGATCAGAAAACTGATGAATCGCACAGAAAAGAGAATTGAAAGATTACAATTTGTCAATTAATTAATTTGACAATCGTTGGATCAAATTAATTAATTGGGTTGGTTATTTATAGGTCCGAATTAATTAATTGGATTAATTAATTCACGGATCGGATTTAATTAAATGGATTAATTAAATATTAGATCGGACCAGGCCAGGCCCGTTTGGGTTTATATAAATACATGGCTGGGGTTTTCAATTCATATGGTTTTTCTCATAATTATTTTTGCTAGCACAATAGGAGAAAATCCTGGTAGCTGCAATCTTGCTCTCTGTGTGGATTACTGTTGGAGGCTGGACAATTGGACAGCTATGGGTGGCGAATCAACATTGCTGGAACGAAAAGAAAAGCAAAAGGTTTGCAGAATTCTTCAAAGGTACAATCTTTATCATGATTCCTATCTAAACACAAAGGGATCCTCGGTGGGAATCGAAATAATTTTAATTTTTCGCTCTGCATGTATAAGTAGATTTCCAACACTTTTTTAAGACCGCTTTCACGTCCATGACTTGATGTTTCATTTGGTTCAAATAATGCAGTATCGTTTGCTTAAGAACTAGTTGGATGTAATCTATAGTTTTCTATTAGCAATTCATTGTTTTGTTCAACTACAAGCATGTAAGATATAAATCATGAGTACTTTTGAAACTACTCTCATGATATTCCTGCTATAAGAGCACATTCAGGACATTGAAAGTAGACAAAGTTTTTTCCAATATGCCTTCGGTGGCGATTTTTTTTACATAATGAGTTAATTTTGAACAATTATGAGTCGTACTTACTAATAGTTATAAAGTAGTGCAAATGAATGTCCATTCATTCATGACGAATGTTAGGAAGGACCACATTCATTTGGTGGTTAAATCTTTCCAAGTAACGTATGGATCCTTCATGGCAAGGTACTCAATTTTCAATCTACTGTGAAAATGACTACAAAGGAAGATAGTTACTTCTATACAACCAAAGGGAATTGAATTGAACTAAATATCAATGGTAATATTTGAAATTGGACAAATGGTTTCATATCCAACCATAGAACTGAATCGATGATTTGGTCTTATTTGATTCTTTATATTGAAAAAATTGTAAAAGCAAAGTATGAAATTACTCGTGAAACTAAAATTGGATAAAAATAGAGTATGAAATCACTAGTCATTCTTATAATCTAATAATATAAAAAAAATCTATTAAACAAAATAACAAATAAAAATTCACTCCAAAACTCAAGCTCAACTTATAAAGGCAAAAAAAAATGAATAAATTATGGAACACATCATAAATTTTAAAATCTCGATCAAAAATTAATTTTTAAGAAAATTCAGCTCCCGTTTGGTCCCCATTTTTTCAAATTAAAATTGGAGGAATAATATTTTTTTGAATAATGAGTGGTTGAAAAAAAAGATAAAGTTTTCGATTTACGTGTAATATTATTTAATGAAAAATTGTATGGTTGAAAATAAGAGAGAGGAAAATGAAATTTAATGTAATGAGCCCCCAACGGGGACTAATATAACAATAATCTGATTATCTTTAGTTATCACTCTAGAATATTGATTCTTAAAGGTCGATCACGTTAAAAACAATGAGAAATTTGAATTCTTGAACTAAAAATATTTTTTTTTCTGTTGTGTTGCATTAAAACTATGAGTTTGTAAAGTATTTATAAAATTATTTTAATTTTAATTTTCATTACCCATTAAAGAAAAGAAGAAGAAACACGTGGAAAATGAAATTTTAATGTGAGATAATTTTTATGTCAGTGTTCAAAGATTTGGTGCATCTTGATGCAAGCAAAAAGACAAAATCGGGAAAATTGAATTCACTATTCGTTCTCAAGACAATATTGAAATTCGTACCGAAATTGATCGATTCTCAAGTACGGTCCCAGAGTTGACCCATTTAGTATAGGAATCGGATTGAATTGATTGATTCTATTTGGTTCTGGTCCTGTTCCCGTTCCAACGATTTCGGGGAAAAACGCCCACCCCTATTTATCCCCCGCCCCTCTCTCTCTCTCTCGGAGGGGAAGGGTTTGGAACACAGCCTCTGTTTGATACAAATTAAAATCAATAATTAATTTTAATTACATATTTTATGATATTTACATCTTTTCAACTATACATTTTATTAATTTTTATCAATGATCTATTAAAAATATAATTATAATCCCCACTGAACAAGGGCTAATAGTCTTATTTGAGCCTCACTTTAAAAACAAAAATCAAAATTTTTCAAACTCATTTTTCATAAAAAAATGATTCCAATAAAATAATTTTAAACATAAAAACTATTTTTTTACTTTTTAATTATATATCTTGTAAAAAATTACTATTATAAAATCTATTTTTACAAAAAAAAAAGGACATTATTCTTTAATTTGACCTAAACGATGTCCTTATATATTGGTAAGAATGCCCTTGGAGGTGTACCTCGAAAAGAAGTCCAAAACTCCGTAGTCGGAGATGACAACATACAAAGGAACTGTCGAAACGATATTTGCTTACTGTGGTTGATCATAATAACACTAAATTATGAATTGTACTTCATTTTGGTTCCCACTATCGATTTTTCACACAAGTTAGATCCTTGAATATTGTCCGATTCTGGTCATTTTTTTGTCAAATATTCAAATTTTTAGGCTTGATCCTTTATTCCACTTGCTCTTTTATTACTTCATACCACTCATGTCCAACAGGTTAGTGTTCAATAGTTCTGAATCAACTCCAAATAAGCTCAAAATCATCATTTTTGCGTCAAATGCATCTTATTCCATATTTTACATACAATTATCATGTTTAAAAATTCGCTCAATTAACAATTATTTATCCAGTTCAAAAACAATGATAAACGTATAAAACACACTTATTAGTCGTCCATATGCGTGTTGAGATCGATGTCCATTATACAACACAAGCCTTAAATACTGTCAATTCAATACGTATTCATTACTTGCAAAATTTAGATTTAAGCTTTATGTGTATGCGTGTTATTGTATATACAATTGTAGAGCATTCCTTTCGAAACAGTGGTCGTCAGAGATTGAGAAAATTCAACGGGGCACTTCATCATATAGCCATAAGTCTTTCTAGGGTAACATGGGAGAAAAAGAATGACATCCTCTCGTGGTTCTTGAAGAAGATCTTGTAAAAACTACATGACATTAATGAAGAAGTTGAACTAGAAATGCGTGAAGAAAAAATAGTAAAGGCATGTATTGAAATAGAATCGTCTTCTGCCATAAAGAGCATGAAAGAAGATAATTGATGCATAGGGAGGATATAAATTAATAATTATGGGATGCTCAATGGTATTCGTGGGCTCAAAGGTCTATTGCAAATTTTCTTACCGAAAATCATAATTATTTTGGAAGGTCATTATTTTGGAAGAGGAACTTTTCCTTTTTGATATCATGTATGTCAACAAATCGTGATGCCTATTTTGGGATTTGTTAACCCCATCCGATATCTTCCTTGGATGAATGAGAACGTTGCAATACAGCCGTAACATTTTTATCATCACTGCTCATCGATAAAATTGTTGCCACCGTAGTCAAAATCATTGACATTAATGCCTTGATGATCATGAAATAATTTCCATCCACGATGACCAACAAAAGTTAATATTTCAGCGAGTATCACTAACTTCAAGAATAAGTACATAATTTCCATCTACGATTATTTTTCAGATACAAAATACAGTCATTAGCAAATGAAAATTTTATCATGATGCCGCGTTCTATTATTATTCTTGGAAAGGACCCCTTGAAGTTTTTCCTAAATTTCACAAATTATGTGACATGTCTCTGTATGCATCAAGGTGGCAATTGGAACTTTGAATGACATAATCTAGAACAAGCACAAAATTAAGGTGTCACTTTCGATAATTAAGATTGCAACTTGCTATCATCGAAGGTCCTCCAACAGGAGCGAACTAACCTAAAAATTTGTCATAAATTTTAATTGCGGTCCATGACTCAAAATGCTCGCGAATTGCTGACTTTATTATATTTTTGTTTAGTTGTTTTGAAGAGAAAATGGAATAAAAGTAATCTTCCACGGTTAAATGTAAGCAAGATAAAAAAAAAATAGAAAAATGCACAAAATGCTTCCTATAACAAAAATCCATAGCACAATATTATTTTCGTCCCAGTGCAAAGCCTGAAAATGTATCGTTCTCATTTAACTATTAGTCTACTCCACTATTTAAGTCCACTCTAAAACTCATTTTCCCCAAAATTAATTTTCAACCTCACATTTTTCCATTAAAATAATTTGCACTTAAATTCAAGATTTTTTCTCCATTTTAACCACACATCCTTCAAAAATTATTTATACAATCTATTTTAAAAAGTTGGAGCTCAAACAGGAGTTATTTAATAAAAATACAAAGTTGAAGTAATTTTGTTAACCATCAATTTCCTCTTCAAAATAATGTATTTTTATTTTTGTCAACTACCCTGGCTCGAGAGAAGATAGCAATGAATAACTCGCTCCAATATTTCATCACACAGAGTACCTTGCCGATAATCTATCCAATATGGTTCGATATTATATTACATTACATTACATGTTAATAAAGCTAGATTGATAATTGGCCATTTTCTAAAAATTCGGAAATGTATTGAAAAATAGAAATAATTCCCAACCATAAGAATATACAAACGTAAAATCTACAAAATAAATATTTATATTAGCAGTGACCAAACAATTACCAATTCACGTGTAGGGCCGCGTGACTAANACAAACGTAAAATCTACAAAATAAATATTTATATTAGCAGTGACCAAACAATTACCAATTCACGTGTAGGGCCGCGTGACTAAGAGAGAGAGAGCGAGAACGATAGTTTGGCCTTCTCAGATCTAGGGTTTTTCCTTTCTTCATTGTCACAGACTCACAAATACTGTTATACTACTACTGTTATCAAATCATCGTCGAACCCTATATTTGAATTCTGACTTACAAGTTCGGACACATCAAGAAATCAGCAATTGACCGTCACCGTCAATTATTTTGATGAAACCCTAATCTGTAGACAGTTTTACTTTTTTCTTGATTTCATCAGCAATAGATCTATAAATCTGGAAAAATCGGATCTTATTAAGAAGAAATTATCCAATTTCAAGGAACGATAGATAGATTGATTTCCCCTGAAATTTCACAGACTGATGAACTCCGTACGGCTATATTGAAGAAGAGAAATTGGCTAAGAATTTTGAATTTTTATTTTTTTGAGAAAAATGTATGGAAAACCTACGGTGGTTTACGAAGGAGAAAGGGTGCTGGGAGATGTGGTAGTGTATCCAACACAGTCTCAAGACGGTGTCGTATGGGGGGAGCGTCTTAAGGAAATTCGGATATCTCACTATTCACAACCCAGTGAGAGGTGCCCGCCACTGGCAGTGCTTCATACCATAACGTCCACCGGAATTGCCTTCAAATTGGAGTCGTCACAGTCACCACAACACCAGGACTCACCGCTTTCGGTTTTGCATGCAACATGTCTCAGAGATAACAAGGTATATTATCGCATTGCCCGCAACCAAGTACAGAACACACTTCTTCAAACAAAACTGGATTAACTAAAATCCCCAAATTTAGTTCAATTTAAACATTAAAAAAAACCCTAATTTAAGCCATACTAAAAGAACCCTAATATCAACTTAAGAAAAATAAAACCCTTAACATTTCTGAAAGAAGGATTAATCTCTGATTCAGAAGTGAACTGCAGAAAAACTGTAAGATTCTGTATTTTGGAAATTTTCTCTCATCAAAACTGGACTTGCTAAAGAAAGATTGAACTTTGGACAAAATGTACAATGACGTTGAAAAAACTTTCTGTGACTTTTGATGAATTGGATTGCATTTTCAAGAATTGCAGGATCATGGAAATATTGCTTTGGCACGTACGAGGAATTTTTTGATCTTTGAAGTGAATTCTATTAGAAAGAATGTCCTGGGGAATTGTTAAGCTAACTAATGAAATTGATTCTTTCCGTGGTAACACTTGTGATAGCTGTGACACGCCTAAGATGTTATTTTCATCGTTTATGATGATTTTTACACGTAAGTTCGGCAAAATGCGGGTTCTATTGGAACCTATAGAAACATTCAAACATGTTAAAGTTTTGGACAGGATAATTCGTCCCATGTATTAATCCATAACGAAGGGCAGCACACAATATTGGAGAGTGATGGATCGAAAAGAACATTATTTTAATCATAAATAGTACTGAGTATTGAGATATTCTTCCATTGTGTTCTGATATTGCCTCTAAATTTTTTTTCTTTTTTCTTTTTTTTTTTCAGATGGAAAATTTAGGCCTGTAATAACTGGTTACTGCTGTTATAGGTTCCCCCAAGGATATATATGTAAAAAAAAAATTCTATTTGTTATATGTCTTGTGGAATTTGTAGGGAAGTCTTAGTAAGGTTTATACCTTGTTTGCTCTCTGAATGAATTTTATCTTCTTCATTTGTTCTGCACTTTTTTCTCCTCTACATGCTGTAAAAATCTATCTAGTTTAATTTGGGTTCCACTTCTCATTGTTAATTATAATATGTATTTGTAGACTGCAGTTATGTCACTTGGAGAAGGGGAGCTTCATTTAGTTGCCATGCATTCTCGGAAGTTTGAAGGACAGGTTTCTTGCTTTTGGGGGTTCAATGTGCCATTAGGACTTTATGATTCTTGCCTTGTCATGCTGAATCTGAGATGCCTTGGCATTGTATTTGATCTCGATGAAACACTTATAGTTGCAAATACAATGCGGTCGTTTGAGGATAGAATAGAGGCCTTGCTACGAAAAATAAATTCTGAATCTGATCCACAGCGCGTTGCTGGTATGATGGCTGAGTTTAAGCGCTACCAAGATGACAAAAGTATTTTGAAGCAATACGCTGAAAATGATCAGGTAAATGATAATGGGAAGGTGATCAAATCGCAGTCTGAAGTGGTTCCAGCTTTGTCAGACAATCATCAACCTATTGTTCGACCCCTTATACGCCTGCAAGATAAAAACATTATTCTCACTCGCATTAATCCTCTGGTATGTGTGCTGCACGTATTTCTCATATAATACTAATTTATTCAGCTGTGTCTTGTTATGTTGGTCTAGTGAGGCTTATTTTTACTCTCATAGAACTTAGTAAGAGCAAGTTTAATTTTCAAATTTTATTTCCGCTATTTGTTGGGTGGAGCGAGGTAAAGCTGGTGGTGGCAGATATGAGGTGAATTTACCTAATAGTTTAGGTAGATATGTACCCTTTTGGGCCATGGTAACGAATTCAAGGAGATTTGATGGGCTTGGTACTTTTTGTCATAAAATGAGTTTGATATGTGATTTGGAAGTTATTTTCTTTACTGCAGATACGTGATACTAGCGTCCTTGTTAGGCTGAGGCCTGCATGGGAGGATCTTAGAAGCTACTTAACTGCTAGAGGTCGAAAACGATTCGAGGTATTTGTTTGCACAATGGCAGAAAGAGATTACGCATTAGAAATGTGGAGGCTTCTTGATCCAGAATCAAATTTGATAGACTCCAAAGAGCTGTTGGAGCGTATTGTTTGTGTCAAGGCTGGTAAGTTTTGATTACTGTAGGTTTAACTTCCACTTCTGGTAGAATTTGTCAATGATGACGTATAGCACATTCTTTGTATCTATTGTACTCGATCTTTTATACTTTTGATTTGATAGAATTTGTCGTTGATCACATATATAGCACATTCTTTGTATCTATTGATTCAATCTTTTATACTTTCAAACAGGCTGTAGGAAATCACTATTCAATGTTTTCCAAGATGGAAATTGTCATCCTAAGATGGCATTAGTGATTGATGATCGTTTAAAAGTGTGGGACGAGAAAGATCAACCTCGAGTGCACGTTGTTCCTGCATTTGCTCCATATTATGCCCCTCAAGCTGAAGTACTTTCTATATGCAGACCATATATACTTTTTTTAAATTTATGGAAATCTAAGCTCATTCAATAGATGACATGGTTGAAAATTATGTTCCACAGGCCAATAACACAGTCCCCGTTCTCTGTGTTGCAAGAAATGTAGCTTGCAATGTTAGAGGTGGTTTTTTCAAGTAAGTTTACAATGACCCTGCTTGTGATGCACAAGCGCTCACTAGCATTGGGGGGAGACCGCTGTTGTTGTTGTTGTTTAGTTTTAGCTCGTCAAGATTTTGGTTCACGTACCTCTGATAATGTTAGTATTGGACTTGAAAAGGATATATGATGCAGGGAATTCGACGAAGGTCTCTTGCAACGAATGTCCGGAGTTGCATACGAAGATGATATTGAAGAAGTTCCTTCTCCGCCAGATGTGAGCAACTATTTGATTTCAGAGGTCAGTGAGGACATCATTTTTTAACTTGAGCCAGTCCTGCAATTATATTGGGTTGTCATGCTTCTGACATAATGATGTGATGCTATCATTTAACCGCGTTTATGGTCATTAATATAGATCATAGTGACATTATTCAATTCCTTTCTTCTTAGGACGATCCTTCTGTTTCTAGTGGAAATAAAGATTCAATTGGTTTTGATGGCATGTCAGACGCTGAGGTGGAAAGGAGGCTACTAAAGGTGCAATGTCCCATTTTGATGAACTTCTATTGTCTACTAACATCTTTTACTTTTCTTTTGCCTTTTGTCCTTTTCTTGTACTAGAAAATATCTCTAATTGTTCTGTTAGCTGATTAACAACCTTAAACATTCAGGAGGCAAGTACAGCTTCTTCAACTGCCCCTATGACATTGACAAGTATAGATCCAAGAATTGCTTCAGCTCTCCAGAGTATTTTACCATCTTCTTCTTTCTCAGTCCCAGCAACAACGTTGCAAGGGCCTGCGACATCTTTTCCCAATCAGCAATTATCTCAACTGACGACACTACTTAAACCACAATTGGCTCAACGTAGCCCAGCAGAAACAACCTTGCAAAACTCTCCTGCAAGGGAAGAGGGTGAGGTACCAGAATCTGAATTAGATCCTGATACGAGGAGGAGACTACTCATTTTGCAACATGGTCAAGACACAAGAGACCAAGCACCAGTTGAACCTCAATTTCCTGCACGACCTTCCATGCAAGTCTCAGTACCAAGGGTTCAGGCACATGGTTGGTTTCCTGTTGAAGAAGAGATGAGTCCGAGGCAACTGAACCAAGTGACACCACCTAAGGAAATTCCAGCAATTCCTGAGTCTATTCCTATCGAAAAGCACCGCCCTCACCATCCACCATTTATCCATAAAGTGGAGAGTTCAGTCCCACCCGGTAGAGCTCTTTTCGAAAGCCAAAGGTTGCCAAAGGAGGTAATGCACATCAAAATTTACCTGGTTTCTAGCACTCAAATGTATACAATTTAAATCGAATGGAGTACTGTAGCTGATAAAGGGTACTAAATACTAATATTCTAAGATTTCTATATGCAGGCACTGCCAAGGGAGGAACCATTAAGGTTAAACCAGTCACTGCCTAAATTTCATTCCTTGTCTGGTAAGTCACATATCCCTGATGTTTGCTTAATCGGTTTCACAGGTGCATTGGTACCTCCGGGAGAAAGTTTCCCATGATTAATTTGATATGTACTTATTCATAGGATTTCTTCCCAATTTTTTTGATTGATTTTGACTTTGAAGTTGTTATTGTATGATAAAGATAGACATGAAAACAAAAAAAAAATTCATATAATGAATTACTCACCCTGTATAGAAACAGAGGCATCGTTCATATTTCCTTTTATAGACAAAGATCGTCACAACGCAATGCTTTCAGGCTCATTGATTCATCCAGCTCTTTTTGTTATCTTTGTTAACCATGCGTGAATTGAATATGGACACAATAAGTTATGACTGACGAAATGGATTTTCTTGATGGTTTGTAGTCATTAATTATTTTTTCTTGATAGCTCAAGTATATACATTTACAATGAGGGGAAATATTAATGTCTTGCTTGGTCAAAGCTAGGCCCCCTGGCCCCACAAGTTCTCCCTTTTTCTGGTTTTGAATTACTTATAAATATTTCAAAACAAAAGACAATAAAAAAGAAACTTAATCTTATTACGTAGAATATGCTTGCCGCCTAGTGGTAAAACGTTTCTTTTTCATTTTGTTGGCAAGGGTTCAAATCCTCCAGTCCACATTTATCCCAACCTTTATAATTGGACATTTCAATCCACAACCTTAAGTTCCTTTTGGATTTCATCCTTTTTATATAATTCTGTTAACTTTTGAATTAAATTTTCCTCACATGAGATGCACAAGTTAACTTTTCGATGGGTAAAGTTGTCAAAATATTATTCTTCTCACCTAACCTATTCTAGTATATTTATTTTCAATTCCAAATCTGAAAGGAAAACCTTACTTTGTTATACGCACAAATCATGTTAAAAACTAGTTGAATGCACGGCCATTTTCTAAGTAAGAAAGTTTTTCAAAATGTTCATGCAGCAGGAACCTGGTAATGGTGGTGAGTTTTTTCATTCATTTTTGGTTAACTCAAGCATAATTGTGTGTTTTTTTTTTTTTTTTTTTTTTTTTTTTTCCTTTTTTTTTGGGGATTAATTTTTTTTTTATTTTTTTTTTTTTTTTTTTTTTTTTTTTTTTCCTTTTTTTTTGGGGATTAATTTTTTTTTTATTTTTTTTTTTTTTTTTTTTTTTTTTTTTTTCCTTTTTTTTTGGGGATTAATTTTTTTTTTATTTTTTTTTTTTTTTTTTTTTTTTTTTTTTTCCTTTTTTTTTGGGGATTAATTTTTTTTTTATTTTTTTTTTTTTTTTTTTTTTTTTTTTTTTCCTTTTTTTTTGGGGATTAATTTTTTTTTTATTTTTTTTTTTTTTTTTTTTTTTTTTTTTTTTCCACTTATATATCGGGAATGAATTTTTTTGTAATTTGTTTTTGCTTTATTTTAGTATTTATGATTCCATTTTTTTGTTTTCTTCGCTATTTTATTTGTATTTTTATTTACCGTTAACCCTAACTTGATTAATTTTATCTTTTCTTGACAATGTTTTTGAACAAAAGTTGTAGCTTCATTTATTATTTTATTTTTATTTTTTCAAATGTTGCTCTCCTTGCCAGCAACCAATTTTCGACTGTAAAAGGTCACCCAAACCAAAAAACCTGGCTTATCTTTTCTGCTTCAGTTTGGGTTGCCATCCTGAAAAAAAGGCATTATGCTGTTGGTGCTCTACCCTGGTTTCCTGGGCAAGTTTGTTTCTTATATCCCCTCTTGGGGATTTTGGAAAAGCTTGTGGAGGAATTTTGGGTAACTTTTTCCTCAATTTCTCTGTAAATAGAGTTATTGAGCTCAAAAGAAAATGTTATTCATTTTTTTTTTTTGACTTATTGTAGATTTAGCTCGTGTCTGGTGGACATAAAATTTAGATTTTTAGCAGATTTTGATAAAAAGTTAATGAAATATGTGATTGAAAAGTTGGAGGTCCCAAGAAATATGTAGTTAAAATTAATTGTTGACATTGACTTAAACTAAAATCCGCTAAATAGGGGCTTAGTTTCATTTGATATATCATATATGTCTTGCTTGTTCTAACAGTACAAGTGTGTGTTTCTACAACTTTTTTTAATAAAAGATAGTGTTATTGACTATGCAAGTTATTTTTTCAAGGTGAGGATGCTCCAATCGTTCAACCATCTTCAGGAACCAAGGATCTTGACCTTGAAGCTGGGCAAATAGATCCCTACCCGGAAACGCCTGTAGGAGCTTTACAGGATATTGCGTATAAGTGTGGAACGAAGGTACGTAAACAGTTGGTAGTTTTCCTTGGATTCCTTCACTACTTAGTTTTCTCTCATTTGAGGTATTAATGGTTATTTTAAATATCTGTAGGTGGAGTTCAGGCATGGTCTTGTCCCAAGCCTGGAACTACTGTTCTCCGTAGAGGTGGTTTCACTGCTTCCTTCACAGTTTAGTTGCATTGCAGTACCTTCCGATAGTAAAGACGATAATTGAGAACTAAACAATTTAGAACTGATCTTTAAATTACTAACATTTTCTCTTCTTAGGCTGTGCACCATTGAAAATTAAACAATTAAGAACTTGTCTTTCAATGAGTAACAATGTTCTCTTTTCAGGCCAAACTGGTGCACCATTGAGAATTTTTAAAATATTCCCAATACCTTCAGCAGCACCTGATTCGTTTTCTGTTTTGGAAATTTTTTGTGAGAATTCCAATGAGATTGTATTATCTTACGGTCTACCGCAGGTTATATTTGCGGGGCAGAAAATTGGTGAAGGGATAGGTAGAACAAGAAGGGAAGCACAGCATGAGGCTGCTCAGGGATCTCTTATGAACTTGGCTGGTAAGATATTAATTGTTGGCTTCTTGATAGTTGAATATACATTTAGTTGCTGTACATAGCTTGACTATTTTTCTGAATCGCGGTTCAATCTCTTTTGCCTTCATTTACTTGCCTTGAGCAAAAGAAGAAAGTTAAACAATGCTGGCAATGAGATAGTTCTACTTATTTTACTTCAGCTTTTGGAAATGATATATCTTTTAACATCACGTGATACATCCACTTGAGGTTGCACTTCAGCTTGGCTCCCTTTTGATTGCCAGGCTTGAAGATTGTCATGGTGCTATCTTGTCAGCTTTGGTTGATTTTAGTATGATCCGTTTGAGAAAATTTTAGGCATTGAAAAGGGCAAGGGGTTTGAAAACTAGAAAAGAAGCTATCACATTACTTTTGGTTTTACTTGATAAATTTTCACTTTTGGCACAGCGAGGAATGAATCCCTGGCTTAAGATTTGTTTTGGGACAACAGTTCTACTAGAGGCTTCTCAATGCAAGTTCGTACATATATTTCTGTGAAATTACTTGAGAACTTAGGTGGTTCTCTCCCTTTGAAACTTGACATTTGGCATGTTCCCTTTCTCATCCTGATTTACTTATATTTGCTCCTCTCCCTTTCGAGATCCCTGAAACTTAAAAGTGTAGGAGAATCATAATAATATTATTATTGTTAACTGAGTTGATCAGAGGACTCTGGAGATCAATTATGTTAAGTTGGACTCGTAATACTTCTAGTATTGAAGATATGCAGGTGGAAGCTAACTTCTGTAAATACATACATGTCATGCCTTTTAAGAGAGGGGAAATAGAGTACATTTATAAACTCTTTGTCATGTTGTATTATAAAAGCACCTATAAAAAAAATGTTGTATTATAAGCAGCACTCCCACTGGTTGTTCCCAGCTTTTGTATTTTCCTGTACCATCGCTCTTCAAATTCTTATTTATTGCCTTTACTGGGAAATATTCTTATCTTATTGAATTATGGTAAGATAATGAAGTCCAGCTCAATAAGTTATTGTAGGGATATGCATACCGATTCCTGAGAGATGAGAATCTTTATTTCTTGGATACTTCAAGCTTCTCACCGAAATTCAAGCCTCAGATTGTGAGGCCAAATTTTGTAGTTTTATATAGACTGGCCATGTGCTAATGTTGTGGAGTTATTTATTTATATATTATTTTTTTTTTTCTAAAGGGGGATCAATGGATTTCACCTTTCCTCCAAAAGAACGCTCGAACTCAGGTCATTAGCCTAACCTAGTAAGGCTTTGCCCTTACCACTTTAGCTAGGCTTTGGCCTTATGGAATTAGGTGCATTGCATTGTGTATCATGCAGACCTTGATAGACATAGGATTAGTAATGGAGATTAATGTAAATTATCCCACAGGATATTTTGTACACCAAAGAAATCAGAATTTGGTGCTGAGGAACAATTAAGAAGTTCTTCCCATGCCTTCAATTCAAAGTATGCTCTTATCCACCTATTTTGCCAGATCTGTTATTTTCTTAACCTGGTAGATCAGAGGACTGCAGGATCAAATGTGTAAAGTTGAATCCCAATCTGGCATTAAGGTTCTTCTGTAAACAAAAGTCATGTTTTCTTTGGGAGGGGACACTTTGCTTATACTTTTAGTGAAAATATTAATCACTGTTGTTAGATGCAGATTGAATAGCAATCTGCCAGGTTTTCACAAACTTTCTCTTCTTTTGATTGGCACCTCAAAATCTCTGTATTGCCTTCAAAGGTAAATAGTTACCAAAGAATCTTCTGGAATTAACATTTGGTGAGATTACAAAATCGTTTTGACAGTATGCAATTGATTCTAGAGAAAAGAAAATGTGTATGACGATTCTGAAGAATTTAAGCTTCTGGTGTGAATATAAGTGTCAGATTGGAAGGTTAAACTTTGTAGTTCTATATTAGCTGGCTATAGCTTTAATGTGTCGGAGTTAATTTTGTTATACCCTCTCTAGAGTAGTTATTTCCATGACCTTGACAATATTTTTTTCCTTGTTAGTACCCTTAAATTACAAGTGACACAGAGCAAGTCTTTTGTATATCTTTGTTGTAAGTGCTCCAATAATTTGATTTGGCAAACATGAAAGGACGGGAACAGGAAAGGAGGACAAGTACAAAATTTCAGGTTCTTGTCTCCCCTATGTCAGCTTGTGCATCCTCTTACATTTCCATCACTACCACGTGGACCTTCTCCTTCCTCTCCCCCTACTCTTCTTCAATCTACAGAAGATTTTAAATCTTGTGTCTTAATGGAGAACTTTTACTAGAATTTTTTTCTACTTTACCTGTATTTTAAAGCAAGATAAAAAAAATCTTTTTCTTGTCAATATCCATATCTGTCAACTTACACTGAATTGACGCTCTAAATTTTTGTGTAATGCAGCTGCTAGTTGTTCAGTGCCTTGAGGACTCAAATTGTTAGGTGGACAACGGTCTGACTTACAGATTTTCTTGAGTCCTTGTTTGGAAATAAGCTTAGATCCTTTTAGATGTCGGGCTATCCTTGTTATCATGTTATGAAATCTGGAGGGAACTGTTTGCTTTTGGATTACAATTTGATGAGGGACTAAATTTCTTAGCCGATCTGTGACGAGGGCAGATGATTAATAATTTTGTCTTAGAATAAATCTATTAAACTCTTCCTATTCTTTAATGTTGCAGAGTTAATTTTGCTAGTTTTCATGGAATTTCCAATGACTGTCTAAAAAGATCATGGTTTTGAGTTATTCGGCTGTAAAAAATTTCAGATTATGGAATGGTTTCAGCACCAGTGTGCTGACCATTACGGACTGTTTGTTTGCAGATAAATATTTGTCACGTAAGCCTGATTCCAGTTCTCTGCCTGGGGATGGGAGTAGATATGCTAATCCAAACGATAATGGTTTTATTGGTGCCGTCAACCCTTTTGGGTATCATCCATTGCCTAAAGAGGAATCTGCATCTTTTTCAATGGCTTCAGAGTCACCCAGGATTCTGGACTCAAGACTGGAGGCTTCCAAGAAGTCTATGGATTCAATCGCGGAACTTAAAGAACTGGTGAGTTTTCATATGGTTAAAATTCTACAATTTCTATGTTCTACACTTGCTATTCCCCCATTCACTTGCTGTCATTCTCTACTTCCAGTGCATGATGCAGGGCCTTGTTGTAGCATTCCAAACTCAACCACAATTTTCTGCAAATCCAGGCCAGAAGAACGAAGTATATGCACAGGTCAGCTATTTAGGTTTGTTGGCAATTAAATACCTTCTATACCTCTATCCCTCCCCTCTCCTCCCCTCCCCACCACACCATTTTATACCACCATTTCATAATGTTAATATGGATTGGATATATTAGAATAATGTCTTCTCTTGTACTCTACTGAAGTTTTATATTAGTCTCTTGGGCAGATTAATTATTGTGAATTTCAAGTTGATATGCATTCACGGTCATTTAGATTGCGTTAGATAGCATGTCTCTGGGAATTCTGAATTGGATTTAGAATTGAGCCGTATAAATTTGATTTGATTTTCAGTGAATTTCGGTTTTAAGATCTTAATCCAATGCTTCTAGCCATGCTGTTGTATTTAAATGCTTTTCTACGTGCATCAGAATGATGACTTACATTTTGTAGAACTCACTGGTTTTATTCAACTTTAGACATTTCTTTTTCTTGTTAAACCAAAATGACGGTTGATAGAGGACGCATGAAGGTGTTTCCAATTTTATATGGGCGATTAACGTAAACACATAATGGTGATATATCCAAGTATTCTTTGTTAATAAATTGTGCTGTTTTGGGGATGTTAGGTTGAAATTGATGGACAGGTATTAGGCAAGGGAATTGGACTAACATGGGATGAAGCTAAGACACAGGTACTATGTTGCTTTCTGCTTCCTTCTTGTATATGTCTTCCCTCCCACATTCTTTTTTATTAGTATTAGTGACTTGAATGCTTTAAATTTTTTGTTCATTAAATTTCTCTTAATGTTTTTAAACCCCATATTATTTCCCTTAGGCTGCTGAAAAGGCTCTTGGAACCTTGAGATCCATGCCCAGTCAGTTTTCTTACAAACGTCAGGATTCTCCAAGGTAAGTGGGTTTTTGCTGTTTGTTGATATTTGATTAAATGATTGCATCTAGAATTGAACTTCAAGGTGCCTTACTTGAAAATTTAGTCCAGAGAACAGTATGACCCTGATTATGTACTTGTTTGAGTTATATGGCACATAGCTTTATTTGAAACATGCTAGAATTTTGGGAGCTTTGAGTAAAGATAATCACTCAATGTTTGCAAGGTTTGAGAAGAAATAATCAAAGCCTTCAGCTTTCTTCTTTTGTTTGTTTCACGATGCTGGTTTTCCATGCTGGACAATATGGAAAATAAGTCATTTTCGTCTACATTTTTGCACCCTGTATATCCTTAATGAGTGCTGTTGGCTTCGTAGAGCTTCTTTATGTACTGGATTTACAAATATTTCTACTTTGTTACTGACTCCTTGTGGATCAGGTCATTGCAGGGGATGCCAAACAAAAGGTTTAAACCAGAGTTTTCTCGATCTTTTCAGAGGATGCCATCGTCTGCAAGATATCCCAAAAATGCTTCTCCAGTGCCTTGAAAAACAGAAAAATCCATTTTTCTATTTGGTTGTATAGCATGAGCCCATAGATTTTGTTACCCTACAAGTTGAAGCCTGTAAATTGAAGGCAGCTGCCGAGATTAGGGTTCTGCAGAAGTCTCTCTGGAATTTGATATTATCCATGTACAACAAACTTTTGGAAGCCTGACGACATGCTTGCCCCTCTGTTCGGTTAATTTTTTGTTTTTTTTTTTTTTTTTGTTTTGTGGAATATCATGGATTGTTGTATGATTATGTTGGCCTGAAATGCGAATGCTTGCAGAAAAAAAATGAAAAAGAAAAAAGGAGGATGGTCAAAAGTTTTGCAACTTCTGTTTTATGTGTTACCCAACGCACGCTCTCGTTCAATGAAAGCGATGGACCTTGGTGTTTAGCCAGGGATTTCATTTAGCTTCTTCCAAAGGTTAATATAACAGGTTTGGTCGACCGGCTTCATTTGTTTCTTTCTCCCTGTTTAGTCACTGAACTGTGACAGAAACTTTTTGGTGAATATGTAACAGATCAGTCTCCAGTTGAATTAAGGCAGCGGCATGAATATTTAGAGCAGATGAATACAGTTTTCCTTCTGATATTTATTTGGGTGGCTAGGCAACCTCTAGCCTCTAGCAGAATATTTGCTTGGATTGGAAAGAACCGAGTAAGAGAATAAAAACCATAAAATATAAACATAGATTATCTACGATTATTCATGAAGCCAACAATTTGTATGAGAGATGTTGCATTGGATGGGACTGGATGGGACGTACTACATATTTGATAAACTAGACGGGAGTCGATAGAATGGTTGACAAATTTTTGTTTGGTTAAAGATAAAAGTTCTTTAACAAGTGGCTTTCTTGGAAAAAGAGGTCTCGACTTCTTTTTTTTTT